AGTTTCCCCCTCACTGTTAAACATATAAACTGTGGGCGGCATATGCGTCACATACAAGCAACGTCAGGTCAAAAGTCATTCCATGCAAATGTGCAGTGGTCCCCGAAGGCACTTTTAGTAAGAAAAAACAGGTTGAAAAAGGTAGTAATTTTGAACAGCGAACCAGTGGGCCAGAGGAGGCTTTTGCCCCTTGCCCGCCCACTATTTTTCTACTCCAAGTTACCTCTACTTCTCCACCACGGGGTTTAAGAGACATTCTTGCATAAACCTGCTTGTGTACATGCATCTGGGATCTGCATTTTGCATGTTTTCTACGGGGAATGTGTGAGCGCAGCAACAAGTTTACCTTGGAAAGTATGGAGCTGCCTTTACAAAAGTTTGCGCACTTGTAATATTTTTGTTTTAGTGCTTCCGATATAACTGAACAGCATTCAGCAGTTACCTCTGGTAGCTGAAAGAAGGGCAAAGTCTCCAAAAATGCCAGTGCAATATGAGCAGACCGTTGATTTATTTCCATAAGACACATTTTGTGGAAGGGTCGGTGTTGCAAGGTGTATGTCAGAAACAACATGCATATCTACTGCACACGTGATCTCAATGCAAAACTCCGAGAGGCCTGGAACCCTTTTTGTGGGGTCAGTATGTGCATCCATAAAAAATATGTGTATGGTATACCTTTAACCCTTATGCCTAATAAAGAACTTGTCACACCAGGAAGTAGAAAAAGATGGGTTTATTACACGGAAATGAAGGAGACAGAGTGCATGGATGCAGTTTTAGACAGCAAGGCTACATATGCACCTTGATTCTGAAGAGTAAAAACAGAGATAGGGATTTGTATGGGGGTCACAGATGAGTTGGGCTATGGTCTGAAACTCAACATCAAAAAAACGAAGATCATGGCCACTGGTCCCATCACCTCCTGGCAAATAGAAGGGGAAGAAATGGAGGCAGTGAGAGATTTTACTTTCTTGGGCTCCATGATCACTGCAGATGGTGACAGCAGTCACAAAATTAAAAGACGTCTGCTTCTTGGGAGAAAAGCAATGACAAACCTAGACAGCATCTTAAAAAGCAGAGACATCACCTTGCCAACAAAGGTCCATATAGTAAAAGCTATGGTTTTCCCAGTAGTGATGTATGGAAGTGAAAGCTGGACCATAAAGAAGGCTGATCGCCAAAGAACTGATGCTTTTGAATTATTGTGCTGGAGGAGACTCTTGAGAGTCCCATGGACTGCAAGAAGATCAAACCTATCCATTCTGAAGGAAATCAGCCCTGAGTGCTCACTGGAAGGACAGATCCTGAAGCAGAGGCTCCAATACTTTGGCCACCTCATGAGAAGAGAAGACTCCCTGGAAAAGACCCTGATGTTGGGAAAGATTGAGGGAACAAGGAGAAGGGGATGACAGAGGACGAGATGGTTGGAGGGTGTTCTCGAAGCTACGAACATGAGTTCGCCCAAAGTGCGGGAGGCAGTGGAAGAAAGGAGTGCCTGGCGTGCTCTGGTCCATGGGGTCACGAAGAGTCGGACACGACTAAACAACAACAACAAATCTGGAAGAAGTTGGACTGATGCCACGATGGTTGGCCCTTAACAAAGGAAAGAAAAGGATGCAAAAAGACAATCAACTCAAAAGTGACATAATTTTGAGAAACAGCATGTGAAAATCTCACTGTGCTGATTAAGGGTACAGAACTTTGCAAATACAAGGAGCGATCAATACAGCTTTGTTTTCTTTTTCTGTGGCAGCTGTTTTATAAAACCTGCCTTTCCAGCTAAAGTACTCAAGATGGCAGCAAAGATTACCCAGGAAAGATTTCTACTTCAGTACAATATTACATTACAATTACAAATGTAGAACAGCACAGTGAAGAAATCCTCGAGACAAACTGATAAACCATACAAGGGAAATTTGATCCCAATATTCCCCGTGTCACCTTTCACTTGTTTTGTTTTGTTTTAAGTCAAAAGGAATTTCCATCCAATGGCCATACAAATCAAATCCAACATTTGAAGCAGGGTGACTTAGTCCATTCCACCTTTTCTCATAAATACTTACTTAATGCCCATTATATCTCTACCAATTTTACCTTAATGCCTTGTAATTCTCCAGCATACACCTTTAAGACAAGGCAGCTTCAGAGTATTGAGAACAACAAATTTGTCTATTTAAAATTAAATGGAGAAAGAAAGAAAGAACTTACTATACAGAGGGCATTTTTTTTTAAAAAAAGAATTTTGGATTAAGAGGAAAGGCAAAGATATATTAAGAAGACTGGCTAAACAGATTGAATTATTAAATTGTAAGCTTGTCAATTACAGACACTTTATGAATAATAGTAAATGGTGACTTACCTGTAGAGGTGGCTTACCTGAAAAAAGGAGGATGCCAGCATGGTTAAATACATAGCTAGAAGGCTTCTTTTCAGCAGAGAATGTAGATTCAAATGAGAAAATAAAATAGCACAACTCTGACCAAAGCAAATGTAGGTTCATGATAAAATGAGCAAAGGGAGGGATTGACAAAGCAAATGGCTAAAGGCATTAAAGCAGCGAACAACCTTTTATTTAAATACATGAGGAGATGAAATCATTCTAAAAGGTTAAACAAATTTGTGAAGGGCAGTTCTACCAATGGTTATTGGCTATAATAGCTAAATGGAACCTCCATGTTCAGTGGCAGCTTATCTCTGAATATCAAATGCCAGGGACATGCAATGAGAGATGGCTGTTTTCCGTTTTTGTTCCCTGAGGCACTTGGATGGTGACAGTTGGCAATAGGATGTTGCAAGAGAGGGGCTCTTAGCTTGACCCAGGAAGCTCTTAGGTTGTCATGCAATAAATAATAACAAGAAAATCTGAACTGCACCCCTTTGGCGAAACGATGCTTCTCACACTATTGCTCTGCAAACGCCCGTCCATCTTGAACCCATCAGACAAGTAACTCAGTAATCCCCCATGAATGATACAAAGGAGTCTCTTCCTAGCCTCCAAACTATGACTCATGACCAGTGCAAATCACTTTTATTCCTTCAGGACATTCCACGAAAAAAATCCCTTCAGCAGGAGATATGGAAAACCGTTTTTGCCTCTGTGTGGCTCCGTGAGAGTAACCTAATGCCCACTGCAAGCTCAGAAGGCTGTCATTTGGCAAGGACAGGGTGTGTGTGTGTGTGTGTGTGTGTGTGTGTCTGCCCTCTCTCTGTGTGTGTTTCTATCAAGAACCTGTACACTTCCGGCCAACAGACTGGTTCAATAAATTTGCTCGTTGTCTTAAGTATTGCATAGAGCCAGCCTGTATGCAATAGCACAAACCAGCAGTAGGTGTGCTTGGTGAACGTGTATTGATGGCCATTGCCATAGCTCAGGGATAGGGAGACTGGGGGTCTCCACATGCGATCGGACTCCCAACTTTCATCAATCCCTGCCAGCATGGCCAATGTTTGGGAAACATTCTTTGGCAATCCCTCGTAGCCGAGTAAGATTGTCTTCCATAAACACGGTTTTAACAATGAGTCCGTAAGTGACTGTGGAGGCCAGTTCTGGATCCACACGTCTTTCCACAGTGGGGACATTGGTTTCCGGGTGGGAGTTGATCACAGTGTGGATTTGCCAAGCGTGCCTTCCTCCTAGCACGTTTCTCCCTTGTGTCCTGAGTTTGAGTGTCTTCAAAGCCCATGACACCTTTGGTAAAGGCTGTTCTCCAGCTGGAGCGCTCACAGGCCAGTGTTTCCCAGTTGTCAGTGTTTATACTACATTTTTTAAAGATTTGACTTGAGACAGTCTTTAAACCTCTTTGTTGACCACCAGCATTACACTTTCCATTTTAAAGTTCAGAATAGAGTAGTTGCTCTGGAAGACAATCATCAGGCATCCGCACAACATGACCAGTCCAACAAAGTTGATGTTGAAGAATCATTGCTTCAACACTGGTGATCTTTGCTTCTTCCAGTACACTGATATTAGTTCGCCTGTCTTCCCAAGTGATGTGTAAATTTTTTTGAAGACACCGTTGATGGAATCTTTCGAGGAGCTGGAGATGGCATTTATAAGTGGTCCATGTTTCACAAGTATGTAGTAAGGTTGGTAGTACAATAGCTTTGTAAACAAGCATTTTTGTTTCCGTGCGAATGTCCTGGTCCTCAAACACTCTGCACTTCAATTGGGAGAAAGTTGCACTTGCAGAGCGCAGGTGATGCTGGATTTCGGCATCAATGTTGGCCCTTGTGGAAAGATAACTGCCTAGGTAGGAGAAGTGATCAACATTTTCCAATGTTACACCATTGAGTTGGATTTGTGGTGCTGTGGAGGGGTTATTTTGTACTTGTTGGTGCAGCACTTTGGTTTTTTGGATATTGAGTGATAGGCCAAGCTTTTCATAAGCTTCTGCAAAGATATTTAGGATGGTCTGGAGGTCATCCTCTGAGCGTGCACACACTACGTTGTCATCAGCATACTGAAGCTCTATGACAGAAGTTAAGGTAACCTTACTCTTTGCTTTCAGCCTGCTCAGATTGAGCAGGGAAACATGGGAGGTGCATGGAATGTTATATGTCCCCCACCATTGCTGCAGCTCTTACGGTGTGCAAAACAGTCCTCAAAACCATGGAACTGTAGAGTTGGGTTGTAAATAGTTCTCCGCCATTCCTGTTGCAAGGCAGCTTCTGTGGACTTTTATTGTTTATTGTTCACTTTAGTCATGACAGATTTTATTTTTCCTCGATGAAATTGAATAAATAAATAATTTTGCCCCCATATCAAGAAATCTGAAGTGGCATCCCTGGGCATCCTATTGCTTTAAAGCATTGTGTTTATATATTACAAATATGTATATATACTCATTTTTCATCTGTATGCTGCCTTGAGTCCCTGTCAGGGAAGAAGGTGGTGTAATAATAATAATAATAATAATAATAATAATAATAATAATATAATGATGATGGTAATGATAATAATAATTCATGCACAGGGCAACTTTTATATTAGCAAAACTGGAGAGTCATTTTTGGTGTTGTAGTCTTCAGCTTTGCTAATATGCAAAATGGCCAAGTTTTCTCTTCAATTTTCTACCTAATAAGTCCATTTAAGACTCAGATCTACATTGGTAATGGCTGGAATTTATATTTTCAGATATGGAGAAACTAGCCACCGTGCGTTCCTTTGTCACAGCATCCCCAGGTGTAACCTGAAACCCACATCACATCTAAGGCAGCCAAATTGCAAGGCAGCCTGCCACTTCTTCCATCTTAAAACCATGACCGACGCTTTGCCCCCAACCCACTTTGATTAACATCCAATCTGATGCCAAAAGCTTGCACTCAGCTTTGTGGCCTTTTGGCTTTGCCCGACTGTGGATTTCGGAATTCGTATATTCCAGTAACGGTTTTCAGCTAAACGTGCACTAAATAAATCCCAGCCTTCAATATACAGAAGAGGACTTCATTTCCTACACTTCACCCAAGAGCCCTTCAAAGTTGAAAAACCAACCCTAGTAAAATGGATCCCAACTGCACTGGAAGATGCCTTATTAGCCTGGTATGGGCTAGTTTATTTATCAGAGTATTCCCTTTGGCAAGCCTTCTGCTAATGATATCACCAGTGGAGAGCTGGTGCTGAGTGAATGCTGGCACTGGAAGCAGCTTTTCTTTAAATTGAGATTAATAGCAACCCTAGATCTGCACATGTTTCCAGGTACCTGAAAGCAGAGTCTTTGTTATGAACATTTGTAATTTAGTTATGGCACGGTGTGTGTTTTCCTTGGGTTTTATAGCATCCTATGAGGTTGCCCTCGACTGTAGCAAAATATCATCCATAATCAAGCTAAACAAACAGAAAGGAAAGAAGCAAATGACAGCCCTGGGTGTACATTCTGCAGTTGAGAAGAATTAACTCTACATCTGGGTCAACACTTGTGGAACTGCAGACAGAGAAACCATTAATAACATCTAGCATTTATATAGCACTTTTTGAAAAGGGTCTGAAGTCCTTCATGTACAATACAGGAGTAACCCTTAGAAACAACTTCATAAGGTACATCATGGGTAGGCAGAAATCAGACCCTCCAAGTGTCTGTATTTTCCAGGAATGTCCCAGATTTAGAGAAGCTGCCCCACTTTCAAATTTGATCCTGGAATGTCCCACTTTTCCTCAGGATGTCCCTATTTTCATTGGAGAGATGTTGGAGGGTATGGAGTTATCTGACCACCAAACTGTCTGAAGGCAAACTTCCTGTATGTTTTATTATGTTTTTATACATGTTGGAAGCTGCCCAGAGTGACTGGGGCACCCCAGTAAGACGTTTGGGGTATAAATAATAAAATTCTCATTGTGGAATGGGATGCTTCTAATTTCATCAGAGAAACGTTGGTGGGCATGAGACGTCACACATGTGATTTACTTTGTTTTTCAGCAGAACCCCAACATCTATCAACCAGAGCTAGCTGCAGAAGACATACAGGGCTGGCCCAAGACATTTTGGCACTTGAAGCAAACCACAAAATGGTGTCTCCCCCAGCCAGGGAAGAGCGGGTGAGTGAAGATCTACATCGGGAACAAGGATGGCAGACCAGCAGTGCTGTCTATTTGCCAAGAGGCCGCTGTAGATTAAACATGGGAGATCTGGCCTCCAGAGATCTCGCCACAGCTGTTGCTGCCACTGTTGATCCAGCCACCTTTGATCCAGCCTGTTGATCCAGCCACCACTGTTGATCCAGCCACTGTTGATCCTCACCTTCCCTCATGGGTGGGCTGGCCCTGGTTATAATTAAAGAACAGGATGCCTCTGCACATATCAGCCTCAGAATTCATTTTCAGTACCAGAAATGAACTGAGCTCAAAGTCACTTTGCATTAAGTCCACTCCTGGTCCTGCTTAGCATTCTTCATTTCAGCTAGGTGGAATAAATAATCTAGGTGGAATAAATAGCTTTGCTTGAGCTATTGTTGAAGCACCGGGAGTCGGAAATCCTCTCCAATCCACTGCAAATCATCAAGAGCTCTCCCAGCAGATCTCAATCTACCAAATTGGGTGAATATGTCAGATTTAGTTTCTCATTTCCGCCCACAGGGCTGAGAAAGTGGCTTGTCTATGTTCATTTAGCAGGTTCATGGCTGAAGTGAACTAGATTTGAACTGCAGGCTTCCTAGCTTGCAGATTGCACCCATAGGACTCTTCTGTATGCTCAGCAGGAAATACGGGTCTCAGAACTCCACCTGCTGCATCTCCACTGTAATGTGGTTTTGAGGCATGCATGCGCTGGAGGTGCAATCTGCAGTTGCAGAGTGGTGGCCAAGAAAGTGTTTTGCAGGACAACTGCCAAAACCAGCCTCAAATGCAACACTCTACTCAATCCCTTCACCATCATTCTTAAATGATCACTGAGACTAAAACATCTAAAGCTCACAAATTTCCATGGAACCATAGTGAAGATTTGGCTCTGTGCATTTATTTTGTGTTCTGTAAAGAAAAAGACTAGCATGGCACACAGCTTATGCATCTGGTACCATTTACAGTGGTCTCTCTGTGGGTGCAGACAGGTGTGTGAAAGTACCTTTGCGTCCTGCTCTCGAGGGTAAGACTCGAACCAATGGCTTCAAGTAATGAGAAAGGAGATTCCAATTAAACATCAAAAAATCTTTCTGACAGTAAGAGCTGTTTGACAGTGTAATGGTCTCCCTCAGGAGGCTGTGGACTCTCCTTCGTTGGAGGTTTTTAAGCGAGGTTGGATGGTCAAGGATCCATAGCATAGGTCAAGGAAGGATGCTTTAGTTGAGATTCCTGCACTACAGAGGGTTGGACTAGATGACCCTAACTGGGGATGCTTCCAGCTCTACAATTCTACAATTCTACAATCTATGTGGTGGTGTGTTGTTTAGTCGTGTCCGACTCTTCATGACCCCATGGACCAGAGCACACCAGGCACTCCTGTCTTCCACTGCCTCCCGCAATTTGGTCAAACTCATGCTGGTAGCTTCGAGAACCCTATCCAACCATCTTGTCCTCTGTCGTCCCCTTCTCCTTGTGCCCTCCATCTTTCCCCACATCAGGGTCTTTTCCAGGGAGTCTTCTCTTCTCATGAGGTGGCCAAAGTATTAGAGCCTCAGCTTCATGATCTGTCCTTCCAGTGAGCACTCAGGGCTGATTTCTTAAGAATGGATAGGTTTGATCTTCTTGCAGTCCATGGGACTCTCAGGCGTCTCCTCCAGCACCATAATTCAAAAGCGTCAATTCTTTGGCGATCAGCCTTCTTTATGGTCCAGCTTTCACTTCCATACATCACTACTGGGAAAACCATAGCTTTAAGTATACGGACCTTTGTTGGCAAGGTGATGTCTCTGCTTTTTAAGATGCTATCTAGGTTTGTCATTGCTTTTCTCCCAAGAAGGAGGGTAAGAAAACTCCATGGGCAAAGACAACAGGCTTCCAGCTCTACAATTCTATAATTCTATCATCTATGTGGTGGTGTAATAAGCCCTATTACCTTGTCTTTACCAAAGGCCTTGGCACAGAGAGAATCACATATATTAGCAAAGTGACCATCCTTGGAACTGGAATTCCTTTGTTTCTGTTTAAAACATTTTATTAACAGTGTTGATTGTGAGAGAAGTCTCAGGAGAAGCTGGGGCCTGAGAAGGAGTACATTCACTTGTAAAAAAAGAAAAGAAAAGAAAGAGGGGGAGAAGAAAGAGGGAGTCAAGCTAAATCTAATAATTAAAGTGAATAAAAAGATACTTACATTGTTCAAGGCTCTGGTGAGAATCCTCGGGAACTATGTTTTATCTTTACAAGTTTCCTTTCAGAATAAACAAGCCTCCGTTGCAATGATCTTCCCAGTAGTAAAATGCATGGGAAACATTTATTCCACTCAAAATAACTCTTTGGGGGAAGAGCACTTGGATTTAAATTCAAGGACTTCAAATAAACTAACCTTTGAACCAGGCTGCCTCTGATAACACAATAGCAACATTATCTTCTCTAACCCTGGCTTTTGCAGGTGTCCTGCACTCATTGTATAGACACCCACCCACACCCACCCACCCACCATTAATCAAGGGGCTAGGTCTTTGAAATGGGTCATTCCACCCCCTCAAAATATGACACTGTGATTTTCTAGGGTGTTTAGCTTTGATAACCTAAGACATCCGAGCGTAAGAAAGATGGGAAGGGGGAAGAAGCAGTTATGTTTACCAAATACACTTGGTTTCTATAGTGAAGACATCTCTGGCATGATGAAAGGCTAAGAGACCCATGGGGGGGGGGGGAGAAGGGGAGACTCTCTGCGAGGTCAATAGGTGGGGACTGTTTCAAGCTAATTAGACCAGGGCAAGTACGGGGGGGGGGGGGACTTATACAAAACAAATCACTCTTCCTAGCTTACTTCGGATAAAGTGGTTTCCCCCCACCCTAAAACAGTGTGAACTACCATTCTTTATGGTAGCCCCTATAGCGGGGGAAAGGGTGGTGTGGAAGCACTTTTCCACCGGCAAGCCACAAACCACTGGATTCCTGTGTTTTCCCTGTTATTGTGCCTCTTCCCCCTCATCCTTACCCCACAGGGCTGATTTATTGTGTGTGTGTTGTTTTTTAATCAGATAGAGTATATTTGGGTATGAGCTGACAGTAGTGTAATTATCTCACCCAAGATGACGTGGTCCATGCCATTGTTGGTGAATGTGCAGAATCCCACCTCTCCATCACTAGCAATACCTGTCCATCTTCTGCTGCTGAAATTTTATTTACATGGTTTTGTATGTTTTGTGGTATTTTGTGCATTGTGATATGCTGCTACTTTTATTGATTAAAGGTAAAGGTACCCCTGACCATTAAGTCCAGTCGTGGCCGACTCTGGGGTTGCGGCGCTCATCTTGCTTTATTGGTCGAGGGAGCCGGTGTACACTTCCGGGTCATGTGGCCAGCATGACTAGGCTGCTTCTGGCGAACCAGAGCAGCGCACGGAAACGCTGTTTACCTTCCCACCCATCTACTTACACTTTGAGGTGCTTTCGAACTGCTAGGTGGGCAGGAGCTGGGAGCAAACAATGGGAGCTCACCCTGTCGCGGGGATTCGAACCACCGACCTTCTGATCGGCAAGTCCTAGGCTCTGTGGTTTAGACCACAGCGCCACCCACGTCCCCACTTTTATTGATTATAGATGGGCAATTCTTTATTGTGGTTGAACTGTTTAATTAATATTTGCTTATGTTTACCATACGTTTCCTAGTATAAGAAGAGGTTTTTTTCTGTTATAATAATGTGAAAAATTTGGGGTCGTCTTATACATAGGTAGTGCAGAGTGGGGATGGGTGATTGGTAGCTGCCGTGAGTAGGAGATTGTCAGCAGTGATTGTTTGGGTGATTGGTGGCTGTGGCAAGGGCTGCTTTCGATTGGCTGTGAGATTGGCGGCTGCTGGCGGTGAGCAGGTATACGATTGTCGGCTTCAGTGACGTGTGATATTGGCAGTCTTGGCCAGGCGGTTGAATGACCCCCCCCCCCAAAAAAAGCTCAACAACTCTGGGTAATCTTTTCCCATTTTCTAAATTTTGAGTCCCCAGAAACAGGGGGCGTGTTATACATGGGGGAGTACGGCAATATTACTGTTTACTATTAGATTGCTGAATGTTGCTGTGTTTGATATAAGTTGTTTATTTTAAAGTTATTGTGACTTTTATATTGGATCAGATTGTTACTATTAATGTTTGATGTTTTATTATGTTTTTATGTCTTGGAAGCTGCCCAAAGTGGCTTGGCAACCCAGCCATATGAGCGGGGCATATTATTATTATTATTATTATTATTATTATTATTATTATTATGCAGTGGTGAAACTGCAACCATTTCCCCTCCATGTGTTCAGCAAATCAGGATGGTTATGCTGCTTGCTGGGCAGGGGAACACAACAGACCAGAGCGTTTGGCAACCGAGTGCGGAGAAATCAAGGAAGGTTGCAGCCATGCATGAACCGACCATCCCTTGCTGATGGTGCAAACTAACGGCATGAAAAACATCCATTGGTTTGAAAGTTCTGTGGTGGATCATTCACCCTTTTGAGTCATATACTGAGTATACATGTGCAGGCCAGCCCTTTGATTATTCCTCCTCTCCTTTCCTGCCAATTAACGAAGAACTGGTATCAATAACTTCTGAAATATCTTAACATACAGTACATGCAGAAATGAGTGGCGTGAGTCCTGTGGGTTCAGCCTTCGAGATGGTCTGGCTAATTCTGCTGACTAGGCCTTCTCCTGTGATGAGTGCTTAAACCCCCAGCAGTGTTTAGACTGGATCCCTGCCAGTCTCCCAGGGAACATCCTATGTAATCTAGGCCACAAGCACAGAGCAGGTGCACTGCAGAAGGTTGCCTGCAGGTCACTCCAGATAAGCCAAGCAACTGAGCCAAGATGCACCCTACAGAAAGCAAGAATGTTGCCTTTTCTCAAATTCTAACGAGAACAATGAGATTGATAACTGTGTTAGCAAAATCAGCAAAAGAGTCTTGTGGATCCTTAAAGACTACTACATTTTCTATTAGCTGATCAGTGTTATTTTCTTCCTGCTGCGCTTCAGCAAGAAGAAGAAGAAGAAGAATTAGGGTAGTAGTTTGGATTTGATATCCCGCATTATCACTACCCGAAGGAGTCGCAAAGCGGCTAACAATCTCCTTTCCCTTCATCCCCTACAACAAACACTCTGTGAGGTGAGTGGGGCTGAGAGACTTCAAAGAAGTGTGACTAGCCCAAGGTCACCCAGCAGTTGCATGTGGAGGACCAGGGAAGCGAACCCGGTTCACCAGATTACGAGTCCACCGCTCTTAACCACTACATCACACTGGCTCCTTCCAGAGCGCCAGCTTTGAGTATCACGATGACAAACAGTCACCTATACATACCTGGTGTAGCAAGGCGTGGCATCTTGAAGACTCGCCACTTTACTGTGGTAGAAACTTTCATGGATAGCTGCCACTTAATATTTAAAGAGTCGCAAGATTCTTCTTTATATGCCTACTCTCTTTCTTCCCACTGCTTCCACCCTCTTACTGAACACACCGCAAGCCTAAATGATTAATAAGTGGAAGCAACATCACAGAGGTGATGATTAAGATATCTTGAAAAGGTAATAGATTGGCTTTTAATAACCCACCGTATTTTACTCCTGCTGAGAAGTGGAATGTCTGCAGCTGAATTTATGAGTCTGGATGTATAATAAAATGCCTTGATTGAAACAAATAAATTACAGGACGTCTCACTTACTGCTGGGCAAAGAATAACAGTTGAGCTCTGTGTTGTAAAGTTTATTCTTTTTGTGGCCAAAGCTCTAAAGTGAAGAGGTGACAGCAGAATTTGCAAAAGTGGCTGCTTTTGTTGTTTTTGCAGAATTCCTTGCTGTATTTTTTTTTCCTTTGGAGCAAAACAGCTTCCTATCCAAGACAAATAAAAAGTTGGCAATTGTGCGATTGTGTATGTAAAGTTGCACTAAACCAGTACCCTGATAACACAGTTCTGCGAACTGAAAACATAACCTTCCTTTTGACAATGAATTTTAGCCAGGCATACAGTTATCGGGGTAGGCCCTAGATAGCTGTATGGCACCCCTGTGAAGCTTCCTCCCTGGTCCTTCGATCTGTTCAGCCTATGGTGGGATCACATTTTGTTACAGCAGGCACAAAGAAGTGAAGCAGTTGGGCAGATCTTCATCTCCCATTGCACTTAGGGATTTAAAAAATACAACAGATCTCCGAGTTGCAGCGTGACAAAACTGGCCAAACAAGAATGCAGATTTAGAAGCATATGACTAAATTATTGAGGTCAGTAGCAGCCAGCAATGCAGTACAGATGAGTCTCGATTGCTCTTCCGCTTCTTAACAGCGTGGAACACTGCCCCTTACCAAGTGGCCATTTTTGAATCTAAGGTGCATTGCCTGTCTTTTCTTGCTGCTGTATGGAAATGCATATGAATCTGACCTTTGAAGAGTATGGCTCTCCCCCTTTATACTCACCTCGAGCAGACCGGAGTGAAGCCTGCTCACTCAGGGTCTGCTCGGCTAGGCTTGCCTCCACCAAAGCCACTGATTGGATTATTTGAACCGGGGTTTGGCAGGAACCCCCAATGACTGTGACATCAGGGAGGCGGGCCAGCACAACCAGCTGGTAAGTCTCATGTGGCTTGGAGGTGCTGCACTCAGTCCCGCAAAGGGCGCCCCCAATCGGAGGAGTGAAGAAGAAGAGTTTGGATTTGATCTCCCGCTTTATCACTGCCCTAAGTAGTCTCAAAGCGGCTAACATTCTCCTTTCCCTTCCTCCCCCACAACAAACACTCTGTGAGGTGAGTGGGGCTGAGAGACTTCAGAGAAGTGTGACTAGCCCAAGGTCACCCAGCAGCTGCACGTGGAGGAGGAGGGACGTGAACCTGATTCACCAGATTACGAGTATATCGCTTTTAACCACTACACCACACTGGCTCACAGTGTGAGCGTTCATTTCAAACTTACCAAACGTGTGGTCTCTTTCTATGCTAAGGGGAAGTGGGAAACTTTGGAGGAAACTTAGAAGGGCATATTTTAAATGTCTAACAGCCTGTATATCCATGCTTTACTTTGCTGCATATTTTGTGATTTTAAATCTCTGCTGGAGCTCTCTCACCAAAGAATACCTGCCCCAAGCTTGGATTTTGTCATCCAGGGAATTACCTTTCTTCTTCAACCAAAGTACCAAAAACCTACAGAAAGCTGCAGCAGCTCTTCTACATGGCTGTCAACCTTCAAAGAGACAATTTGCATCTTCTCACCCCAGCATTTTCCACAATGCGTGCCAAATACCCTTCTCATACAGGGGGGCCACATATAATACAGGGGCACGAGGTATCTAGAGACTGGCTACTGCAGGGGTCGGCAAACTAAGGCCCGCGGGCCGGATCAGGCCCAATTGCCTTCTAGATCTGGCCTGCGGACGGTCTGGGAATCGCCACGTGGATCGCCATGTGGATCGCCAGCGTGCACGTTCTTTCCCTCTCCCTCTGTTATGTATTGGGTTTATGTTACAAGGTGCGTTCTACCCAATCGTAGAAGCGTTGGTAGACGAACGTTCTAATGGCAAGTAAGCGCATGCACTTTCAACTGTCAACTGTCAACGGTCAGTTCTTGCTCGGCATTATTATTGTGTTGTCCAGTCAGTTTGGTTCTTGTTTTTCTATGAGTGAGCTGTTGTTAAATATTAAATAAATGTTAAATTAAATGTTAAATAAACGTAGTTGAGGAACTTATACTGCCTTGGGCTTCTGACTTTTTGCGAACATTTAACACCCTCCCTCTCCCTCACATGGCTGCACTTTTCTCCTCAGGGATGGAGCCATCTTGTCCCACACCGGGTGTCGCCGATGGCGGAAGTCAGCTTGCCCGCCCGCCCGCCTCAGCAGGTTGGCGCTGTGAAGGGGGCGTGTGACGCCAGCTGCCGACTGCTGCTGCATTTTCCTCCTGCTCCTCCTCCTCCTCCTCCCTCTCCCTCAGTCCGCCCTTCTTTCCTTTTCCTCACCCCTTTTCTGCACTGCTTCCTCACGCACTTTCTTTGCCACCGCCTGCCTCCCTCCTTCATTCCTCCCATTGCATTCAGGTGGGTTGTTGCGGTGGCCGCAGCCGCTGCTTGCGGGTTGGCGGGCGGCTCTGTCTTCTTCTCTGCGGTGTCTCTCAGGAAGCAGCAGCAGCAGCAGGTGGTGGGTAAAACTCCGGCAACACCCCAGTTCCCCTACCTCCGTCCTCGGCTCCTCCGCCGGGGCTGCTGCTTCTGTCTTCGCCAGCCAGTGTAGCCTCCTACCCTGCCACAGCGCATGGCTGGCTATTGGGACGACAACTGGGACAGGTAAAGTGAAACATCTTCAGGCCTCTTTGTGGGCAGGCGAAAATTGTTCACCCTCCCCCCATATAGTCCAGCCCCCCACAAGGTCTGAGGGACAGTGGACCGGCTGAAAAAGTTTGCTGACCCCTGGGCTACTGGGTCAGAATCCAGATTCAGCAGTACAGTGGTACCTTGGGTTAAGTACTTAATTCGTTCCAGAGGTCCGTTCTTAACCTGAAACTGTTCTTAACCTGAGGTACCACTTTAGCTAATGGGGCCTCCCGCTGCCACCGGGCTGCAGCCACGTGATTTCTGTTCTCATCCTGAAGTAAAGTTCTTAACCTGAGGTATTATTTCTGGATTAGCGGAGTCTGTAACCTGAAGCATCTGTAACCCGAGGTACCACTGTATTAGAGTTTGTTGGTGGGAATGGGGGAAGGCTGCCCTGTTGCTTGCCTCTTGGCTGGAGGGAGGGGCAGCTCACAGAGCTAGGATGAGGAGAATGTTCCAGATAAAACAGTGAGAGGGACCGGGCTTGCAGGTCAGAACAGTTTCTAGTTGCTACTAAAGACCCGAGTTCTTCACACTGGCCAACAAACAGCTTTACTATTCCCAGAGGCTATTAGACCTCCCAAACATATGTCAATTGGTTCGGGTGCTTCCTAGGAACGGGTAGCTTTTTTTACGGGAACTTGATGGGGCGCTTCTATGACTTGGAGATTGCACTGTATTCAGTGTCATGGGGCAGGGGTCCTCATTGCACCTGCAGATATTTCCCAGAACAAAACAGGATAGCACCTGACTACAGGCAGAGTTCAGACATTAGCTAAAATCAAGCTGGTGGCATGTGGGGTGATTCTTGTGCCAGCCTGCTATTTGTGTTGGCTTTTTACGGAGTCGGATTTGATTAATTCCACGATTTTCTCCAACCCCCAAGTTCTTTGAAACGAGGTCTACCGTTTCATATGACGTGTCTTTGTAACCTGACAAGGGCCCAATGGCAATATAAAATATATATCTAGGAGGATGAAGAGTGAGGGATTAGAAGCAATTTAATGGAAACACAAACCTGTTTGTGAGATAGAAGACAGCTTATTATTGTTCGAAATCTGGAATTCAAGCTGCCTGACTGTCAGGAGCTGGAAGAAAATGCTGTTCCTACAGAGAATAGCACCAGGCCTGTTCTCCTTCATGTGTCAGCTTTTACCACCTGGAATGATCTAAAGCAATCACTATTCACAAAGCAAAGAAACAGGTGTGGGGCTAGGGGGAAAAAAGAGAAAAAGAACACTTTGGATCCTCTAGCTACAAGTAACCAGCTATAATTCCAACAATGAGTGTCACTCATCTCTTATTTTATCAGTGGCATGGTATTGCAGAGCAGTCCTAGACCTATATTAGGCCAGAACTATACAGAAGGCTGATCGCCGAAGAATTGATGCTTTTGAATTATGGTGCTGGAGGAGACTCTTGAGAGTCCCATGGACTGCAAGAAGATCAAACCTATCCATTCTGAAGAAAATCAGCCCTGAGTGCTCACTGGAAGGACAGATCCTGAAGCTGAGGCTCCAGTACTTTGTCCACCTCATGAGAAGAGAAGACTCCCTGGAAAAGATCCTGATGTTGGGAAAGATGGAGGGCACAAGGAGAAGGGGACAACAGAGGACGAGATGGTTGGACAGTGTTCTTGAAGCAACCAGTATGAGTTTGACCAAACTGCAGGAGGCAGTGGAAGACAGGAGTGCCTGGCGTGTTCTGGTCCATGGGGTCACGAAGAGTTGGACACGACTAAATCAACAACAACAACAGATACATTGCTGCCATGCTGGTGGAACATTGTATGCAATGTGTGCTCAGCTGGGGTGTGGTGTGGTGGGAGAGAAAACACACAATTGGATTATACAAAAACTGCAGGAAAATGATAGACAATGCCCACCCCACCCCTATTTATAAGAAGTGGATGTAAAAGGAGCAGGGAGGAAGAATAAAAAAAACTGACAGGGACAGGGAAGGTACAAGTACAATGTGAAAGGAGAAGTGGAGAAGAAATGTCAGGAGATGAGTAAAAATACTTTGAGAAGCAAAAGGAAGGAAAATTTGCAATAAAAAACCCTTTGAGGAAATTGTGCCTAGAATTGTGCTGACCTTTAAAGCCCTAAATAGCCTTGGTCCTGTATTCCTGAAGGAGCATCTCCACCCCCATCGTTCTGCCTGGACACTGAGGTCCAGCGCTGAGGGCCTTCTGGTGGTTCCCTTGCTGCGAGAAGCCAAGTTACAGGGAACCAGCCAGAGGGCCTTCTCGGTAGTGGCGCCCGCCCTGTGGAACACCTTCCTTCAGATGTCA